TTCGGGTTGCGACCAATTTGGGGTGCAACCAGAGTCACGGAACGAATTAAGTTCGTAAACCGAGGTTCCACTGTATTCCCTGAAGTCTTTGGGGGTTGGGAAAAAAATGAAACTAAATCTCCAGCTAGAGAAAATTATCCCCTCTTCCAACTCAGAGGGATGTGCATGTGAATATATAGGGCAGGGATCATCAATGGTGGGAAATTATATCCAAAACTCTGATTTTTGAGGACATGTTCTGGGTGTTATTTCAAAATAGCTTGACATAGCCAGTGAGAAAAATGAATTTACCAGAATGCAGCCACCTTCTCTTCAGCCACTCCTCTTTGCTACCTCTGCTTGGTTTTTTTTCTTTTCTTTTTCTTTTTCCAGGTAGACAGGCAGGCATACTTCCCCCAAAAATGTAGAGACTGCAGCCACCTGTCTTTTTTATTTTCTAACAGAGCTTACGAGATGAATTTGAAGCACAGAGGAATTCTTTGAAATAAAGATGATGTTAAAGGCTGGAGCTTAACAACCATTGATTGATTGATTGATTGATTGATTGATTGATTGATTTATAGTCTACCTTTTCTCTTGAGAGCTAAAATCATTTCAAGGGGGTAGGGTGGGGGCAGGCTTCTCTCGCTTTATACCCAAAACAGCCCTGTGAGGTAAATTTACAGTGACTGTATTTTCTTGGGAAAAATGAACCTGAAGAAGGAGCAAATCTGAAAGAGGTTCATAAGGATAAAAAAAATGTTTGTTTATAACTGCTTTACAAAGGAAAATTCAAGAGCAAAACCAAGAAAATAAAAAATTAAATCAATCTAAAGGACAGCTTTCTGAAGTAAAGGATTGTCCTTTATAATAAAGGACGTATGGTCACTGTAGGTAAATTAGACTGAGGGAGAATGTTTGACCCAAAATCACCTACTGGTTTTGTGAGGGCCTCCAGTCCAGGTCCAACACTTTAACCACTACTGGCTCTCCTATGTCAAGTTAAGAATACTTTCAAAGTGAAAAATGTCATGAGGGCAGGAGGTCCTTAATGTGCCAAGGAAGGTATCTATCAGCATATGGACATTTCTGGGTATTTTGTACCCTCAATATAAAACATGTAAATTCACAATTATCCACAGTAGGCTCTGAAACTAATTTACTATAACACTAAATAGAACTTGCAACACAATATGCTTGCAGTTGTCATTATTCTTTTTTCCACAAATAAAACATTGGAAGGCAATGGGATTGAATTATGGATTTTTGTGCGGAATCTAGCTATCCTGATGGAGATGAGGCCATGGAGATGATCATGAGCCAGCATGATCAAAATTCTGGGAAGGCTACTTTAGGGTATGCAGGTTCTGCAGAAAGAACAGACTACTCAATCTCTTGCGCTTAAAAAAAGCGAAAAGATTTTAATAAGTAGCGTAATAAAAGGGATTACACTTTTTTAAGTAGAGGAAGGAGAAAGACCTTGTCCATAGATGCTTAATTCCATTTTGCCTTTAGTTTGAGAAAGTGTGAAATGAAGTATAGATAGTGCTTGCTTAATGACCATAATTGGGACCAGAATTTCCATTGCTAAGTGACATGGTCATAAAGCACAACGACATGTGACTGCGTCACTTAGCAATGACAGTTCTAGCAGTCCCTGGTTATCATCGTTAAGCGAATCACTGCAGGTCATTAAGCGAGGACCTCACATGACTGTGACTTCCGACTTCCTGCTGGCTTCCCCATTGACTTTGCTTGTGGGAAACTGGTAGGGAAGGTTGCAAATTGTGATCACGTGACTGCAGGATGCTGCAGCAGTTGGAAATGTGGGCCAGTTGCCAAGTGCCTGGATTGCAATCACGTGACTGCAGGGGCACTGAGATGGCTGCAATTTTGAGGACTGGTCATAAGTAGTACTTGTTCAGCACCGTCATAAGTTCAAACAGTCACTGAATGAGTGGTCGTTAACCAAGGACCACCTGTATAAATATACCACGTGCACAATTATTAGGCAAGTGAGTATTTTGACCATATCATCATTTTTATGCATATTTTCCACCTCCAAGCTGTAGAAACCTGAATGCTTAATGCATTCCAAACCTTCCAAACTCTGTAGTATCAATCTTTTTGCAAGTAGGAAATCATACAATATCCATTTCTATTGTCAAGAAATTATTTCCACCTTGTCAAAATCTCATTCAAACAAACAAAAGATTTAGAAAATGAATGAGTCTTTCAAAAGATGATTTATGTGCACATTTTTTAATTTGTGTACATACAATGATTTATATACCTCCCACTTCCAACACTCAAGGTGGCTTACAATGTATTTTTATAATATAGCTTTATAAGTATTTGCAGATTTATATAAAACATGACTATACCCGTTCCTATCTTTTAAAATGTTAAATTTCAAGTCTACAAGTTATAATTCACTTGCCAGATTTTGTTCCATGCTACCTGAAAACTGGGGTAAGGATACACTGTATGTTCTCTTACTACGTTCTCAAACCTGCCATGCTAAATCAGTTCTAATTCTTAATCTTTTCTACAGCATTTGTGAATTCTTTGTCCATGGGAATGATCTTCTTCTGTTCTCCCATTGTCAGTGTATTTACCAACATATTTGGTTGTCGACAAGTAGCTGTAGTAGGAGCGGCTGTGGCTTTGACTGGGCTCCTTTCAAGCTCCTTTGTAAGGTAAGAATACTAATTTTCACTGACTTTTTGCAGTGCAGTTGGCCTTTGGTAGTATATTTGAGGCATTTCTTGACAACCCTAATATTCCTCCTGCCCAACCTCCCACTTTTCCTATTATTAGATCATGATCTTAAAGGCACTGTTGGGCACTAAAATCCTAGGATAATACTTCAAGTATGACATAATTTTAGTCTTTAAAGACCTGTTCTGGCTGCCTTTTTTTCATCAATTTAGGAGCCATTTCTGGGGTAAAGTGGGATTCCATGGAGATGAACTTTTTCTCATATTGCTTTATGGTATTTCTGTATTAAAACTGAGAAAGCTTCTTGCCCCAGGGAATATTGTATGTTCAAGAAAGTAGTGAGATTTTCCATGGAGTGTTCCTGAGCTATGAACTCTTTGCTCTCTGTCAACCCTTTGAGGTAAACTGAGTTAGGAAATAGATTCCACACAGACGGCAGGAACTCTACTTTATGGTTGCAGTGTATAGTAACAGAATCTTGAAAGCCTGACAGTTTCTTTCTTTCTCCTCCAAACCTTATACTAAAGAGAATCAAGGCAGAGCAATCTTGAGTTTCTTTCTCACACCTTCCTCTCTTTTAGGACTAAGTTGATGTTTATGTAACTGCCCTTACATTCCTTCTTCCATATTCCTCTACACCATTCTTGCAAGACAAAATCATTCTGATCTTCCTTTTCAAATCTGAAAGGAGTGTTCAAAGGAATTTGTAAAATGTCATTGGAATTGCAAAATGCTGTACGGTATTGGGAAAAATTCTATTTTGCATGCCTGCATCATTCAGGGTACATATAAATAGCACTTTATATCTCAATTCCATCTGAATTTTTAATAGAGGTATTTTCTCTATCTATTTAGTTAAGCACTTCTGGAAGTGCAACAAGTATGTTGTTTCACTTCCAGCCTCATCTGCCAGTTCCAGTAGCTGGAAATGGTTTCTATACATGTGTTTCAGTCATGCTGAAGCTTCCCCTGACACTTCCAGTAAGCTAATGAAAGCTCCAGAAGATGCTTTTTGTATATGCCTGCAGAAAAAATAAACAAAATGCTTATCAAATTTGCAGAAGACATGGATTTAGCTGGGATAGCTAATATCCTAGAATACTAGTCTCCAAAGGGGGGGACACACAAGATGATCCATTGGTATACAAGAAAAAAAAATAGAATATATTTATTTATCTCATCCTTTTAAAATATCTATTTTAGGGGTATATTTTATAATGCACATAATATATTATTACAGGTAGTCCCCAGTTTAAGAACGAGTTCCGTTCCCAGGGTCTGTCCTTAAGTAAAATTTGCATGTAAGCCAAAGCAGTATTATTGTATAATACTGTATAAGTAGTATTGCGTAAGTAACTGAACCCATTGTGTATTTAACTTGAATCATTGTGTATTTAATTCAAATTTTGCTACAATAGGCTCCATTCTTAACTATGGGTTGTCTGTAACCCGGGAGTTCTTAACCGGAGGACTACCTGTATAATAGTACATGGATGTAATTTATAAATAATCATATATATAATGGGGATGCTCATTCTTTCTTTTTTTGTTTTTTGTTTATTTATAAAGGTATGAGATCAAAAATGTTTGGAGACTGCTACCCTGAAAGACAAAAAATTCAGTTTGATTTAATCTTGATAAGTTAGAAAAATTGAATGAAAATAACAGAATAAAATTTAGCAGACACCTTGTTGGCATTGTTCTTCTCTTAGGAAATAGAAGCCAAATGGTCACGTAGGATTTCATAGGATGGGAATACAACCTGAATATGAATCAACAGTGTGATGTGACTGTAGAAAAGGGCAAATGTAATTTTAGGCAGCAACAGAATTATAATTTCCAAATCAGGTGTAATGTACTCAGGTCTGAAGTGGGCAAGAGTACTTTGGATCTGACTTAGTCACTCTTGCTGTAGGAGTCACATTTCTTCCTGGAGCTCCTACAGTAGCCAATCAGGCAATTACATGTTGAGTTAAGGAACTGTTAATGCCAACAGATGCAGAGTGCCCATACTGGATCTGAAGCACCCTTGTCCACTTCAATTTTGAATAGAGCAAATCTCTACTGCCACAGAATTTTTCACTGTCCACATCCCAGTTGAATATTATGACCAGCATCATACTTTAGGGAACATTCAGTGAAATTAGAACAGATGGAAAGAAGTTAATCAGGGAATGGAAAGTAAGTCTTAGGAGGAAGAACTAGATACATTTAATTTTGAGAAAATGGGGTAGGGAAATATGATAGTAGTTTTCAAGTACCTGAAGAGGTGTGGCATACAAAGGAAGATTAAGACCAATTGTCCATTGTGCCAGAATTCAAAATATAGAATAATGCTTCTAAGTTAGAGAAAGACCCTTTAGGAAAAACATTTGTAGCATTTCCTTTTTGAAGGCAGGAAAATCTCCCTTCTCCAATCGCTTAACTATCTGCAGTCATCATTTGTCATATTTTTCGGTAAGAAGTAATGAAGTGTGGTGATGAACTCCCATATGTTCAAACAGACACTAGACAACAATCTGTAAAGAGATGCTTTATGTTGGAATCCTGCAGAGACCAGGAATTGATCTCAGTAGCCTAAATGCCTCCTTCCAGTTCTATCGTACTGTTATATACTTCCTTACTTACATGTGAATATTTTCTTTATTTAAGAAACTCAAAACAGCATATATTCCTACTTTATTTAGTGACTGACCCAAAGTCCCTCAATAAGGTTCATGGCTGAATAAGGACTTGAACCTGTGTTTCCTCAATCCTAGTTTAACATGCTACGATCGATCGATCGATTGATTGATTGGAAAACAGGGAGAGATGTTACTTTCTTCTTTCTTGCTTTTCTGTTGGAAAAATTAGGTAAACAATTCTCCATCCTCACCCTCCAAAATAATTTCACTTAGCATAGTTTAGGTTTGGGTATATTTCTATTGCAGAATATGGACTTGTTTTTTTCTTTTGAAATATTAAGGCCAAACTACTGGTTTTTAATGTATTTAATCTTGTTTGCTATGATTTTTAATTACTCTAGGTTTGTACTGTTTAAATGTATTGAATTTTTTTTAGTATTGTAAATAGTAATGAGAGAACTAAATTATTGTTTTTTAGTTTGTTACTAAATTAAGAATCCATTATTATTAACTTGGGTGAAACATGGTATTTTGTTACATTAGTTTGTATAATAATTCTAACTTATTCTAAGGTTTTGAAGAATTTGAGCAGGTGTATCATATTGTATCTTGGAATGTGGTATGCATGATATTTGTTTGTGTATTTGTTTATTTATTTATTTATTAAATTTGTATGCCGCCCATCTCCCCCAGAATTATAGTGTTCCTTCCCACATATTGTGACACAATCCATTTCTTCTCTGACTATCTTACAATAATAGATCAGAATGGCAGAAGTAGTGACCAAAAAAGAACAAACAGCAGGAACAAAAATGCTAATTTGTTATGAAGTCAGAAAATATATTTATTGTATATTGTATTATTCAGTATGTATATTGAACTATGGAAAGATTACATTTTTGGATAAAAGTTGGCTCATGTAAACATTACAGAAATATAGCCTTCTGCCAGCATCCTAAGTACTAAATTACCTTTGATTTTCTAACAATATCCAAAAGTCAGTATAAAACAAAATTGAATAAATAAAAAGGAAAACATGCAGAGGACCATAATTAACACTGTTTTCTGTTTGTTGTAGCTCACTTGGACCTCTCTACTTCACTTATGGAATCTTGTTTGGTTGTGGCTGCTCATTCACCTATCAGCCATCCCTGGTCATTTTGGGACATTATTTCAAGAAGCGCCTGGGACTGGTGAATGGCATTGTTACTGCTGGGAGTAGTTTGTTTACTATAACGCTGCCTTTTCTTTTAAACGCACTGGTCCACTCTGTTGGCCTCTCTGGCACTTTCCAAGTCCTATGCATTTTTGTGTTTATTCTCTTCCTGGCTTGCTTTACTTACAAACCTCTCATGCCTAGTGCCAAACAAAGTGGAAAAGGGAACAAGTTCAAATTACCTCCAGCGAAAGATGTGTGCAATTTTTCCATATTCAAAATTCTGAGTTATAGAATCTGGGCTCTGGGGATTCCAGCTGCTTTATTTGGATATTTTATACCTTATGTTCACCTGGTAAGTATTCACTCTTCTTTCTGTTTTTCTATTTTATTGTTTATGTAACTGACTGTGACAAACTTTATGTTAAAAGTGTTTCTACTTTAAAAAGCCTTTTTTTAACAAAAGAGCAGTAAGATTCCCTGCATTTCCTTCATTTTATTTATTTTGTTAAAAAGCTACAGTATATTAAACCAGGGGCGGTGAGAAGGGGGTCTTCAGGTGATTATTTGCAGAGCTTTGTTCATAATCTTAGTTTAAGACATAAGACATAAGCTGAGATATGAATGAGACTTTTGCTGGCACAAAGAGCCCATTTTTTTGGATCACTGTTAAATTAGGAAGTCTCCCAATCAGCCATTATTTCCTGTTTTATCTGTGAAGTTTCATAGTTTGAACTCTGTTTAAGATCCTAACTTATGCTAAAGCTAGTATTTAGTTTTTTGAATAAATAGGGACCTAATTAATTAATGCATTATATTTTGTGTGGTATAAAAGGAAGAGCAAATGAACTGTTTGTGTGGGCAAAAGGTCTTGGCCTATTTAAGTTGAGGCGTAGTCATATGATATTATATTCATATGATATTTTATAAGACATTATAAACTTAACAAATCATTAGGACAACTATAACATGTGGACAGCAAGAATGGATTTGTTCTCATATGTCTGATCCTTGGCAGAAATACTGTAAGGCAAAGTAACCACATAGTTGGGTGATAAGCCTTAAAATCAAGATATAAGATCATGTTTATTACTTAAAATATTAATTAATGCACATTTCATTTAAAAATAAAATTTCTTAAATCCCTAGAACCTGTACAATTTTTCTGAAATCTATTCAAATTAATGAATTTACAATTCTGAAACAACTCTTTGGTTTAAAAAAAAATCTCTTGAACCCTTTTCATTCTGGTTTATATTAGGAGAATAGACTTGGTTGGTCAATTTCAAAATTTCTAAATCTGTGGCTCTTTGACCTCTTAGTAGCATGTTAAGCCCATGGGCTGAGATAACCGTATGTCAGGTGAGAAGAAAAAATTACATCTGTGCCTGACCCTCTATAGCACAATAGAACTGGCAGCATATAGACATAATTGCAACTGTATATATTACCTCAGTTCCAGTATTTATGCAGTTCTTCTTTGTCTCTCTCTTGCTTCCTATTATACTTCTCCCTTTCATATCTTTTACTATACTCAGTTTTTCTTTGCTCTGGTAGCTTCCCTCCTTTCTTTCTTCCACTCACATCACCTTGGGTAAGCTACAGTGAGGAAAAGGAATCCATTCAGCCATCTCTACTGCAGTATTTTATTCTCTAGGCAATGAATACTGACAAGAACAAAGATAGAGGGCAGGAGATCTGACTCATTCTCAATTGATAGGGCAGACTGCTCTGTATTTAGGATGTTTGCATGCACAGTGCTTGGCAAAAAAAAAAAAAAAAATGAAAACATTTAGATTTTAATTGATACTTTTAATGCCTGGTAAACTTGATAACTAGTCTGACCTTGCTGACCTCGCTTCTTCAGAGAACTTGCCTGATGATTTGTGAAGCTCAGAAATTTGTGGTGGAGAAACCTGATGTTGAATAATTTGCTATTAGAATTGTTTAAACAATATAAATTTCCATCTGTCCATAGAAAGGAATAGAGTTTCTTGATTTCAGTGTCTTGCCTTTGAATATTTTTTCTTAATTTTTCCTTGTTCCGCACAGGCAGTAACTGAGGCTTTCTTTGTGTACATCCATGCATTTTTCTAAGATTACACTGACCTAGTTGGTTGACCTGAAGCAGTAAATTTGGGGAATAATCGTTCTAAGTGCATTTCCTTTGATCCCTTTGAAGCAACTTGGTGGCACCAGGGGAATAATTCTAGGTTGAGGGTAGGCGTATGGATATCTTTCAGGCATTTTGTGAACATGACATGAGATCTGAATGTTGGACAAGATGGTGTTACCCAACACAAAACAGCCGGCATTGGAGCCGGGCACAAATTCAGACCAAGGGTAGCTGGCATTTTTTAATTTGACTCTGAAGAGGCCAAGCCAGGATTGGCAACCTGGTTGGGCAAGTTGAAACTTTTAGAAAGTTAATTTTGAAAGTAAGAATTTTCAATGGCTGCCACAGAGGAGGCTTTGCCAACTCACAAAACAGCAACCAGAAATCCAACTAGAAAATCTGAGAATCAGTGTGGTGTAGTAGTAAAACTGTTACACTAGGACTGTGAAGACCCAGGTTCATCCACTCTCAGCCATGGAAAGACACGGAATGACTTTGTGACAGTCTCTCTAAACTCAATTTACCTCATAGGGATGTGGGGATAAAATGAAGGGAAATCCCCCTGTAATCTGTTTTGTGTTGTTGTTAAGGTGCTGTACTAGAAACCAGGTAACCATGGGTTCCAGTCCTCCCTCAGCACAGAAATTAACTGGGTGACTTTGGGCCAGTCATTTTCTTTTAACCCAATCTACCCCATAGGGAAAAAACAGAAGGAGGAAGCATTATGTACACCATCTTGAGTTGTACAAAATAACTAAAGCCATGGTGGGTGGGTAATAACTGTGGTACATGAAAAATACAACTTGAATGAAGGTGGACTGATATTGTAGAATGGAGTCGATGAATCCATGCAGGGAAGTGAAGGTATAATTATGAGTGAAAGGGCTAAATTATATGTCAGAAACTATTATTGATGATGTATAACTTGTAGGTATGTGTGAAAGTGGGAATCAACAAGTTGGTGGTTGATGCATGTTACATTCCAGTGAATGGTGATAATGGAAGAAAAAGTGATGAGTTTGGGGAAAGTTGTGCAACATTCTGAATGAACACAGTTAGCAAAGAATTAGGGAAAAATTGTTCTGTTAGGTGATATGAATGAATGGGTGGGAATGAGACATGAGAGTACAGAAAAAGTGATTGGACCATTCAGAGGAGAAACATAAACATTGGTATAATGCAGTGGGAATAGAAATACTTAAGTGTTTGTGGTACAATGTGAAGAGATAGGATCGAGAATGAATGGATACTGAATGAATATGGATTGAATGCAAAAATAAATGACCAGTATGAAACAAGTACATTAAGGTGGTTTGGTCATAGAGAATGAATGAGGATTAATTGCAAAACCAATATGAGGGAAGAAAATATGGATGATGAAGAAGGGAAAGACCAAAAAAGGAGCTGTTGGGTAGAATTGATCAGATCCGAGAGAGAGAGAGAGACATGAGAAGTTTAAAGAACAAAAGGCAAGATATAAATCAGTCTTGAGGATGTGGTGGAAATAAGGATGGTTGTGAAGATAGAAAATGTATAGTATCTGAAGGCTGTGAGGGTCTGGATAGGGAACAACAGGCTTCAGCTGAACCCTGGCAAGACTGAGTGGATTTTGAGACTTTCCAGTGTTAGGACTATACCATCTTTGGTGCTAGATGGGGTGGCACTGCTCAGACAGACCAGGTACACAGTCTGGGGGTCCTCCTGGATTCATGACTCTTGCTCAAAGAGCAGGTGGCAATCGTGGCTAGGAGGGCCTTTGCACAGCTTTGTGTTGTGTGCCAGTTGCACCCATTCCTGGATTGGGGGCTCTACTCACAGTCACTCATGCCCTGGTTACCTCTCATTTGGACTTCTGTAATGAGCTCTACATGGGGCTGCCCTTGAAGAGTATCTGGAAGCTTCAGCTGGTGTGAAATACTGGTGCAAAATGCAGTGGCTCAGGCAGTTATGTGTGCCCCTAGAAATGTACCCATTACACCTCTGCTCCATGAGCTGCAATCAGTTGTCAGTTTGCTTCTGAGTCCAATTCAAGGTGCTGTTTTTGACCTTTAAAGCCCTTCATGGCATGTGGCTGGGTTATTTGAGGGACCGCCTCTCCCCAATTACATCTGTCTATCCCATCAGGTCTGGCAGAGAAGGCATGCTGCGGGTCCCGTCTGTCAGGGAATTCATTTGGCAAGTCCCAGGAGGCGGGCCTTCTCTGCTGTGGCACCTGCCTTGTGGAATCTTCTCCCCCCAGAAGTAAGGTTAGCTCCATCCCTCTTAACATTCTGCAAGTCCCTCAAGACCTGGCATCAGGCATGGAGGTCCCAGGGGACCAGGGAGATTTTGCGATGGCTCTCTTACTGTGTTTAACATCATCTGTCTTGTTCCATGTGCTTTTTTATAGTTTTAATAATGACTGTTTTATATGTATTTATTGCTTTTCTTTTTAACTGAGTGTTGTATGCTGCCCAGAATCACTTTTTTGTGAGATGGACAGCTATACAAATATGATAGATGAATGAATGAATGAATGAATGAATGAATGAATGAATGAATGAATGAATGAATGAATGATATTGGTGTAAAGGGGATTTAGTTGCATCTCTTTTTCTTATATCTCAACATTAATTCATTTAAATTATCAACTTACTTATGCTCCGTATAACACTGCATACCCCAAAGGGAAATAATGTAATAGGTATGTATATATGTGGACAGATTTTCAACAGTGGGCTGCTGCTTTCAAAGTTTTTATTTGGTAAAACTTTGGGGTATAGAGAGAGTTTATAGTATTATGATATGATATGATATGATATGATATGATATGATATGATATGATATGATATGATATGATGATATGAAATGGGAATTCAAGGCAATCGCTTCTAGATGGTAGAAGGCCTCATCTTAATCTCTACAGACTGGAATTTCAGTTACTTCTTTGACAGATAATAATGGACAACTTTTTCTTAATAATGAATCTAAATTTCTGCTGTTCATCACTAGACTATCATAGAAACTAGTTAAAATATCTAACAGCTTGACCTGGCATGTGCCTCAAGTGAACAATTGTTCCTGAGATATATGCTTCAAATGAACTGGATCCCAATAATGCGCACAGCAATATTATTTTTATACACACACACACACGCATACGCACAGAGAGAGAGAGAGAGAGAGAGAAGCTCTTTGATCTCCTCATGGAGACAGCCCCTGTTCTGGCATCCCTAGAAGCCCAGAAAAGGCCAACTCTA